CATGAGAACTATTCCATGTACGTAGGAATGCCTTTCTAAACTGGTAAATGTGTCCTTCATTACTCTTGCATCAGTCAAGACATGAGCTCATGGGCTATAGTTGATTTAATTTGTGGATAAAAAGTCATTTGAGTCATGGTACTTAATAAATCATTTGTATTTCAAGGGACAACTTAAACAATAGATTGGGACTTTGGCTATAAAACTCTCACTGTTCTCTCTCTCACTTTTATATAATTTGTTTCCTGCCTCTGGAAATCATTTCAGAATCTTTACATTCATCTTCATTACATTTCTTTCCAAGCATCGAGAGCTTCTTCCATTTGACTGTCTGCACTACCGTACCAAAAAATAAAAAAAATTGAAAATCCATTATTCTAGAAAGAATAGTATGGAAATGGATGGCCAAGAAACAATTACTCTAGTCTCATTTTGATATCCCTCAGTTAACGTCTTAATCCTGATGACTCCTGCACTGTTATTTTTGTAGCACAAGCAAAGAGAAACTAACTCTTCAAACTAGAAATACAAGACAAGTAGTGGGTCATTATTCCATAGATTAATATTTCTTAAATTGTAGTCCTAAGATCACTGGGAATTTCCCCAAGATCCACTCAGACACCCACAAAATCAAAAATTGATAATCTATGTTGAAAAATAATACAATCTTAAGAACCCATCCAATAATTGTGAGATGCAGTAGTAGCAGTGAATGGATTAATTTTAATTATTATGGTAAATATCGAGAAATATAATACAAAGAAACAAAAGCTGCTTTGCGGTCCCCTGTAATTTTTAAAAGTGGGGAAGAGTCCCGAGAGAAAAAAAGAAATGGCATAGATCATTGCTGACTGGTTTAAGAGAAAGAAACTGCTGAAAAACCATCCCCTCTATTCCTCTCCTAATGTAAAGTGGCTTTTGATGCTGGAAAAAGATATATACGTATGTATTTTATTCATATGCCAGCCCATCTCATATAATAATTCTGGATAGCTACACTTGGTAAACCAATGCAAAGCATAGTAAGAGACACAGCATCTCATAACAAAACTAGGCACTGAAGTTCACCAGGTTCTGGAGGTTATTCCTGAACCACCTGTTGACCCCTGTGCTATATTGAAAACCAGTATATTATCTACTCATTCCCGTTTAATAAAGCCCCAGATTTTGGCCATCCCAACTCCGATCCAAGCAATGAGACTAAAAACATAAGGCTAAACAACATTTCTGAAGTTGGCCACAGTGAGCGGCTGTGTATATATGTATAGGCAGGAATGGACTTTCTACATTTTTTTTAACCCAGTTTCAGTAACTTTTTTTTTCTTCAAAAACTGTTCTTTGTGTATATTTTGCCTCCAAAAAGCGGAAGATCTGGGGCCCGTACAACGATAACAGGAGCTATATAAAGGTTAGGGTCTCAAGTTACTCATACCTGGTCTAGTGGAAACTTACATCACAGACCTATAAGAGAACAGTGTAGAAATCTGTCAGATTACATCTGACCTGAGACCTGATAGGCAACATACTCAAGAATTTTGAAATTGTAAAAAATGGGAGCACAGCATTTAGGAAGAATCACCTTTCCTTCTTGAGTATCCCACCCTTCCCCATTACTCCGCTCCCTAATTGAAGCTAGTTTAGATTTAGAGTTATATCTGTATAAATCTACTTACCATTCGCCTCATTAGTGGTAGGTATAGAATCACCTTGGAAATGAAGGGCAATCTGGTGGCTTCCAAGAGTATCAGTTGGCTTGGCCAACAAGAAATAATGATGGGTATCAAAGGCACAAAGATTGAGGGAACACCAAGAACAGACACTGTCAGAGGGGTGAGGGCAGAAGGAGACTGTATTATAAGGGATGACTTCTTAGATCAGAGGCTCTCTTGTCAACATCTTTGCGCACTCCCTTCCCTCCATACTTTTGGGGTCGGGGGATGTCAGGATTCCAGTTAACAAACCCAACAGAATCAACTCCAAGGCAGGCATATTCCTCAAATCATTGATTTATTAGGCATGTCATATTGACACATCTGAGGAAAACCTGACTCTGAAGGACCCGAGGTTTTCCCCACCCAAATCAAACCCCAAAGTTCTTTCCCCCACAAGTCATATGTCCATCACATGGTCCAACCAGGTTGCATCCACCATGCTGGCTGGCTTTGATCCAAGCCTCTCCAGCACCTGGTAGACCATCCTTGACTCCCACTGGAAAGAATGTTGCTTTGGCTACCCATCCCCAACTACCTCTATGTTCTCACAGCTCCAACTGGCCTTGCTGCGGCAGCCCTGAAAATGCTCCCAAAATGGTTTCAGCTCAAAATGGCTTCAGGGCTGACAGGGGAAATGTAATAAGTACAAAACATTACAAAATCTAGTGTTTTTCTGGATCTATACAAACTGGTTAAAAGTAGGTTTTCTCTTCTGGCAGAAGGTAAAGAATTCACATGTTCACATTCTCACACTTAATCTGTTTTTGTAGCCCATGTTCCCACTTCATTTAAATGGCAATGTTTTACTTGGGCTCATCAAGAGTGATCCGAGTGCTGATTTCTCTCTCTCAGTTGCAGCAAAACATTCTACCCTTTCCTGATGTAGGATAAGAAGATAAACGATGGACTTTTCCCCACACAAGGGTTTCCTCCTCTATCCAAAACCAATTATCAGGCAAGACATATGGGAAGAAAAAGATGCATTTCCTCTCTTGTTGGTTGTAGTTCCAACTTTGTACCATAAAGAATTGATGTATTTTCCCCATGAAGAATAGGAGACGGCAAAACTTACTTACCTCTTGGTAGATGACAACACCACTTTACTGCAACCTGGGAGGGAACATCATTACACTCTGATTCTACACACCACAGCGGGCCAGCATGCAGTGCTCCATTTGCGTGAGCAGTGGGCACACACTCATCCACTGCTCGCACGAGTGAGGCTGTGCATGTGTGCATTTGCCCACCACTTCTGCAGCCCAGTTCTGAAAGGCTCAAGGCCCAGTATTAGGCCATGCCCCAGGCGTTTGGGGATGCCTGCTATAGGGATCCTTAGTTTTTCAAGGCCAGGGGCAAGAAATTGTGGGAACTGTAATCAGAACACAATGCTTAGCCCTGCTCAAATTCTAAGCTTTGCAGCAGTGCTTGGAAAGACTAACTAAAAATTGCCTGGGGGGAAAATATTTTGGCATATTTCCTCCTTAGACCAAAATACACCCCGTCATATTCTTTGTACCAACACAAACAGCACAGGGCTTGTTAACAGAGTTGGAGAACTTACAGGATCAATTGGCATAAGGAGGAGGAGAAAAAGAAACAGGGAGAACTTCTGTTCCCACTATTTATTTCCGAACACAGAAAGAATGAAGTACTTTGTCTTGGATGGCTTTGGAAAGAACTTCCCCAAAATGGACATGGATGAGGGGAGGTGTGCTGTTTTAAAAATCTAGCAGTACTGTTTTTGCAACTAGAACCAGTGGTGAAATGTTACCGGTTCAGCCGAACCAGTAGTAAAAAAAAGCTCAGACGATCAGCTGAGAGGAGAAAGAAGAGAAAAGCGCAGCATCAGCCCTCCCACCGGCCCCTGTGTTTTTCTGTTCTTTATCCCCTCAGCTGATTGGTGTGGCAGAACCTCAGCTGGTGTTTGGAAAGTTGCACGCACACATGCGTTAGATGTGCGTGCGTGAAGTGCACAATTACTGAACCTGTAGGGAAACTGATAGAATCCCACCACTGACCGAATATAACTGCAGGAGACACAAATGATGCTCTTCTCAGGCTATGGAATCAGTTTATTTCTTTACTCGCAGATGGAACGAAACCTGATAGCTTTGTGCGTATTCTTGGATCCTCTTCATATTTAGTGCAGGAAAAACATATATATCACAATTATTATTTCAAGATTCACCGGCTATTCCATGGATAATAGCAAAGCGCATGCCTGCCAAAATGTAACATCCAGAAACATCTATCATTTAAAATTGCTGCAAGAATGCAAATCTATTGTGATAGTCTTTAAAAACAAAAGCACCCCTTTCTATTGAAATACATAAATTAAATAATAGAGAAATGTGCTCCTTTTAAAAATGATGTCCAAAGATTAGGACATCAGCATTTTCCAAAAACGGCCTACATTTGTATAGGTAGTCCTGGATTTACAACTATTTGTTTAATGACCATTCAAAGTTACAATGGCGCTCATAAAAGAAACAACTGATCCCCCTCATAACTCTTGCAGCATCCCCAAGATTATGTGAACAAAATTTGGGCATTTGGCATGTATTTATGACACATGCAGCATTCTAGGGTCATTTGATTGCCACCTGTGATCTTCCCAGCCAGTTTCTGACAAGTCAAAGTCAATGGGGAAAGTCAGGTCTGCTTAATGGCCTTTAGCGATTTGCTTAACTGCAGCAGAGAAGATCATAAAATTGGGTGTGCCTCACTTAACAACTGCCATAGCAACAGAAATTCTGATTCCCAAGCATGGTTGTTGAGGCCTATCTATTCCACTTTACTCAGCACTTCTCCCATTCATATCTGGATACTTTCCGCATCTGCTTTGTACTTAAGAGATGCACCTACATGCTCTTTTGACTTTTCTTTGCAAATAGAAAGAGACTTTTAAATGTTTTTGTTTTCATTTTATTTTATTAATAAGAAAAATGGCATGCGAACATCCTTCACCTAAGTGAACCATTTTCCTGTCACATACCTATTGCACATGGAGAGGAGAAAGCAAAACACAAAACATAATCTGCCGTTTGAGTTTCAGCAGGCATGAAACAGCAAGATTAAAAAGTGTGTGTGAAGGTTTGCATCACCATTGGGTCTTCTGCATCCATAAAAGCACAGGATGGACACGAAGGCCCACCTTCTCCACTGTCTGGCATCAGACTGGCTACCTTTTTCTTCACCGTAACCTCCCTTGTAAATGATCTTTTACTATATTAATATCTTCGTTCTATGGAGGACGTTTTGAGTCAACTGATCTGTTCTAATGCTCTTAAATTGCCCATGAGGATTTGGTGTCCCTGAATTTATCAAATCCCTTTTGTGCCATTGGAAGTCTGATTTTCAAAAGAGCCTGAAGAAACCTGATTCCTACAGTGAGGATCACCAATCCTGATGAAAGTACCATGTCGTGTATTTGACAAACAGGATGGCATTTGAAGCCTGAGGAGTTTGTCAATAAACTTGAAGCATGTCTACCTCTGCCTTATAGCCCATTAACCCAAAGGGAACAGTGAGCCATTTGATTTGTATCCCAGTGCTTCCTGACAGATTAGGAACAATTGGGCTGCCCGATTAGAGATCATCCACCTAAAAGTTTATGCCAGTGTTTCTCATCATTGGCAGCTTCAACATCTGTGAGCTTCAACTCCCAGAATTCCCCAGTGAACATGCTGGCTGGTGAATTCTGGGAGTTGAAATCCTCACATCCTCAAGCTGCCAAGGCTGAGAAAAATTGATCTGCACATTTAACAAGTAGAGATCCAGAAGTTTAAAAGACAGGTCATCCTCTATAATTCTGCATTCAGATTAAGGTTACTCCAAATTCAATCGTCTATCCTTTGGATGGATGACAAGTGCTAGCCTCAAGGAAATGCCAAGGGCTTAGAGTAGGCCAGAAAGACAGAAACTTCAAGGAGGATTGCACATCCTGTTGTAAGCAAAAAGGAGAGAAATAAGTGAAGGAGGAATAGTGCAACACATCCCCATTCAAACACACCCACTGTATAACAACTGAAACATTTTAAGTGAGATTACAATGGCAAAAATGTGTCCGGGTGAGGCAGAGAATTCCCAAGTCACCATTTCTTCTCATGGGTGGCACCCACCCCACTTCTTCAACTCTTTATCTCACACAAACTTGATCCAGCTCAATGAAGCGTTTGGTTAAAACAAAAATGCATTTTTCCTTTTGTGAATTAGTTTATGCCAGATATGCTACAAAAAGTGAGTCCACTGAAGGGATGACCATCCCATTGGCTAACAGTCCAACTTATTCAACCCTGAATTCCTATGCAACCAGAAGTAAAAATCAGAGAATAAGATAATTGTGGCAATTATCTATTTTTGTCCCAGTCTTCAAGAATTAGACAACACAGTTGACTCCAAAGAATGAATTGGCTTCCCCATTCCTAAAATATTTCAGTTGCTCACGTTATAAAATACCAGTTTGACACACACAAAAAAGCAAAGTGCTGTGTATATAATGGCATTATGGAGAAGGAACTTAGGCCTTCTGGATACTTCTGAAGTCCAGATCATGGTATTCATTCACCACTGGCTGAGGCTGTTGGCAGCTGTAATTAACAACATCTGGAAATCTCCAGGTCCCTGCCTATGTTGACCAGATAGCTACAGAGAAAGGGGAACTGTTTCCATAGGAATGTCATTTTCCTTCTTAACCCACATGGTCATTCTTCAAAATTGCAGGTGCCTTTGCAACAGTGTTTAGCTTTGCCTAACTCAAATTAAAGAAACATCCATCATAAACATTTAAGACTGGCAAGAGAAAAACAAGAGGTGCAGAATTTTGTTCACAACGTACAGCTCTTGTCCCTAAACTGTGATAACCAACACCAGCAGCACACATGCAAGCTTCCTCACCGAAGCACCAGGGAAGGGGGAAAAGCTTGCTTTAAAAAAGTTGTTTTAAAATGGAATCACACCTTGAGCTATAAAAATACATCTGTATGAAAGGAGTACAAATCAATCTTTGCTTTATAGGAGTGGACCATAGACTTTGCCCCTGCTCCCACCCCCAAAAGAGGCAGTTGCTTCTCATTAAAGGGGAAAAAAGCTACGAAAAATGCCACAGGTCATAGACATTAGAGACTTGGGACAAAAACTCCGGTCCTGCTAGATATCCTGAATCATCCAAACAACAAAGTCTTCGTGAATGATAAGCACATACAGACAAACAGAACTAGTCAAATGGGCAAATGACTGGACAAAAGCAGTTAGGAGGCGTTCCTAATGGAACCAGCAAAGAAAATGCAGAGAAGCAGGTCAGGCTCCTGCTGTCTGTTTCTTTCAGCCGCCTTCTGGCCAACCCCTTGCCTGCAACTGTCAGTCAGAGGAATAACAGCCTTCCTTGAACCTCCAAGGTCTTTCTTTGACGGAACGGACCTCCAGGATCTCAGAAGTCACTCAGAATGCTGATGTCTGCAAACTCCTTCTTGTACCGGTGAGAGTATAAGCCCAGAAGAAAAGCCCATTTGAGGGAAAGGATGCTCCAGATGCAGGACAGGTAGTAGCTCTGTGGATCCGTAAAAGCTGCGGGGGGAAACAAGCATATTGTAGCATCTGATTAAGAGGAAAAAGTAGTACAGCTCCAGTGTTGATTTCCTTGTTAACCAGGTTCATTACTTCCAACATCCACTCAAGAGTATTCAGTCTTCCATTGTTGTTGAACAATGTTCAGAGTGACTGAGGATTATGAGAACCATCACTCAACAACATCTAGAGTCCCAAACAGCCTTCACTTGTCCTAGACCAGGGGTGTCAAGCTAGATTTCTTCAAGGGCTAGAGCAGCATTCTAGTTCCCCTCTGCAGGCTGGCCATGGCGGGGGTTGGGGGGGAGGGAGGCAGGACGGACGCCTCCTGCAGTAGTACCCTGCCAGCCAAAATGGGGCATGGGACCCCTGTGCACTTCCCCCCCGTCCCACTTTCAGCATGGACATCCTCTTGCAACACTTTGCCGGCCAAAGTGGCCTCCCTCATGCGCCTCACCCCACTTTTGACCTGGCCACCTTCCTGCAACATTCTGCCAGGTGAAAATGGCCAGATCTAAGCAACTTGTGGGCCGGATGGAGCCTGCGGGCCTTGAGTTTTAATACTCTTATCCTAGACTCTGTCATTAGACCTTAACTCCAGCAATCGCAGGCAAGATGCCCAACCGTCAGAGACCAGGAATTGACCAACACTTGAAATACTGCTGTTCCTATGGCAAGTTTATATCTTTACCAGCTTGATGCTTCAGGAATAATTCCTAGAATTTTCACCTAGCCTGCTGTGGAGAAATGCATGTAGAAGCCCCCAGATTAGAAAAGGATGGCTTAAAGTGATTCCAATAAACTTACAATGTTGTTGTTTTTTAAGGCAAATCTTAAAGAATTATAAGACAGCAAGGAGAGTGGTGGTTCATGTGATTAGGGTGCAAGGCTGATGATCAGCAGGCTTGCAATCAAGACCTGGCTGCTGTCATACAATGGGGTGAGCTCTCATCACTCACTCCAGCTTCTGTCGACCCAACAGTTTGAAAGCGGGTGACCGTGAGTAGATAAATAGGTACCACTTTGGTGGGTAACTCAACAGGGACATGATCCTTTCAACCCGAAAGCACCTGGGTGCTTCCGACACAACAGTGAGCAATAATAATAAGCAATAAGCCTTTTTGAGGATCTACCGATCTACTACCACTGGACTCCCCCCTCAAGGGAATCATATTCAAGCATTATATTGTACAACCAAGCAAAATTAAGGCAGTACTGGTGCATCCAGCCTTGAACTTGAGAAAGTGGCTCTACAAGTACACAATGGCTCAAGCAAACAAATGAAAGGCTGTAGGATTGAGATTCCAGCTCATATGAGTCTTTGCACCTACACCTATTTTAGCAAAGGAACCTTCCATTCTGAAATATAGGTTTCTAACTCGGGACTGGGATGTTAGATGCTGCTGAATTACAATTCTGATAATCTCTGAACGCTGACTATATCAACTGGGATTGATCTGAGTCCAATATTGTCCAGAGGATCCCATTTTTTTTGCAGACAGAGTATGATGAGACCATACAATTGATCCTCTAAATGAGGAGGAGAAGGAACAGGAGTTGATTTCATGGCTGTCACAAAATTGGCTCTCCCTCCTTTTTTTTGGCTGAGCAGATCTGATAGCATTAGGCTTCTAAACAGAACCAAATTATGGACTTACATTGCTTCTTTATGATGGCCAGGGCCAGGAATGTGCAGAATCCCACCACGGAGAGTATGCCAAAGAAAATGCCAACACACATGAAGAACCTCAGGCCTTTCAACCAAGTCCTCCAATAGTCCTGCATATACATCACATGTGTGATTAGGGCCCAAAGTGCCAAGACACCTATATGAAACAAGAGAGAAGAAGAATCAATAAAAAGTGAGCATGTAAACTCCAAGGTGGATCAGCAACTTTAACCCAGCGGGTTTCTGCAGTTTCCTTTAGGTCAGGGTGGCTTCTGACCCTTAAGTGGCACCCCAAAAAAGGGACAAGAGAAACACTGGGTTTGATTGATTTCAATTCAGAATGATTTAATACAATTCCACACACAGGTTACAACCTAGAATCTTCAAAATTGCCTACTTCATAAACAACCTGCCTACCTAAGATGTGTTGGGAAAAAGTGAAAGTCCCTGCCCCACAATGGTAGTATCTTTTCCAGTATCTTCCCAAGTATTGAGTAAATGTAAAGTGTCTGCATGGGAAGGGGAGTAGTAGTTCATGTTTTATTATTGTTATAACATTTTTGAATATGTGGACGTGTTGAGATTTTTGTTGCAGATAAACTCTATTGTGAGTTTAGAAGTCACTTCAATGTAGCTGTGTGTTTTTTAATCAATCATAAAAGCATAATAAACCACATCCAAAGCTTTTTATAATCATCTGCTCTCCTAGCACCTTCGCGCCATGTTCTCAGCATTTTCAAATGTCCTGCTTTGTGCCACATCGAAGTGAAAATGAGTCCTTCTTTAAGGATATAATCTCCCATCCAATATACTTGTCACCTATAAAAAGTCAGCACACCAGGAACAAAAGTTGGCTAGATAATGTTTCGGCACTATAATTAGGACCATTTTCTATGTTCAGGGGAGTTTGGGGACAATGGGGGAGCAGCCCCATCTAATCAGACATCAGAGCTGTGCAGTGCTTCATTTTCGATACCAAATAAGTGCCAATGAGCATAGGTATGCTGGGGGTGGGAATGGGGCCCTGCAGCTCTTTAAAGCAGCTGTCTCTTTTTCCAGGATTATGGGACAGCTGCCTTGGTTGCCAACTTCAGCAACTGGCTCAAACTGGAGAAGATTTAGCATCTTTCAAATATGCCAAGTCCCAACCCCTTCCATTCAACGTACTTATTGGCCATTGTTGCTGAGTAAAAAGAGCAGAGATCTATATATCTGGAGATGTCTATCCTGGGAGGCCAGGTTAGCATTTGGATGGGGGATTAAATACAGAATTCCAAGGCTAGAAGTGAGAAGTTGGTGGGGGGAAAAATTCTGCAAGAACACAGTGGCAAGATACTTCTTTTATTCTGCTGCCAAGAAAACTGCTCGAATGTATGAAGTCATCACAAACTGACCTTGACTTATCTTTAAAAAAAAAAAAAATCTGAAGAACAAAACATCCAGGAAAGGCTGTGCTAAGTCTGAGATGGAGAGTTGCAAATCAGAGGGCCGAAGCCACATGCTAACGGAGGATACTTTGCAAAATCAGAGGCACCAAAACTTCCAAAGCAAAGGGAAGCAGGTATGTTTGTAACAAAAGCAGGGCTGGATCACACCGGAGGCCAGATGCCAAGAGAATGCAGCTTAGTGACAGCCATGCATTTATGATGAGCCATGGTGGCATAGTGGTTAGAGTGCAGTACTGCAAGCTACTTTTGCTGACTGCCGGCTGCCTGCAATTTGGCAGTTCGAATCTCACCAGGCTACCTTTCCGAGGTGGGTAAAATGAGGACCCAGATTATTGAGGGCAATAGGCTGACTCTGTAAACCGCTTAGAGAGGGCTGTAAAGCACTGTAAAGCGGTATATAGGTCTAAGAGCTATTGCTATGCACTCCAAGGACTGACACTAGAGGCACTGGGAACCACTGAGAGAGATCTGGAAAAGGGAATGTTCTTCTCCTCCCAAAAATCATGTTTGGGATCAACCAGGGTTCTTTTGTACGTATATGAAGCTCATTCCTGAACGTGTGGAGCTGGTGGGGAAAAATTGCCTCAATCTGTCCGTATCTGTTATCAGAGATGAGCTCAATTTGGGGGCATCCTTTACTTTTATCACCCTTTTAAGAAATCAGCTGTTATACGTCGGCACTAGTGGGAATGCATCAAGACCTCTGAAAAGCTGTCAGAGCACAGAAAGAAAATGTAACAACTAGAGTTACACCTAAGCTTAGCGCAAGCCTATTTGCAAACCTTCAAGCGAGTGAGTGTTTATGTATGTGTATCTCTCTATAGTGAGCACATGTAAACATTTCACTCCAGATATAGAAGCTGAGCAGAGGGAGAATCTACAAGGGCTGATAGGCTGCATTCTGGAGGTTCTGCAATACCATCCACAGCTCCATTATTAGCAAGTGTTGGCAAATGCATTTAGGGGCCATCTTCTTTTAATTTTGGTGTATATTTAAAGCACACAATCAAGAGAAAAAGAACTGGTGGGGAAAAAAAACAGAAAAAAAAGATTGTCAAGTCATATAAAACTGAACCAAAAGGAGAAAGTAATATTAGATTATTACAGGTAGTCCTCAACTTACAACAGTTCCTTTAGTGACTGAAGTTATGATGTCACTGAAAAAAGGGGACTTATGACCGTTTTTCATACCACTGCAGCATCCCATGTTCACATGATCAAAATTTGGATGCTTGGCAATTGGTTCATATTTAGGACGGTTAAAGTGTCCCTGGGATCATGTGATCACCTTTTGCGATCTTCTGACAAGCCAAGTCAGTGGTGAAGCTGGGTTCACTTAGCAACTGTGTTATTAACTTAACTGTAGTGATTCATTTAACAACTCTGGGAAGAAAGGTCATAAAATGGGCCAAAAATCCCTTAAAGTCTCACTTAGCAACAGAAATTTTGGGCTCAACTGTGGTCGTAAATCAAGGACGACCAGTGCAGCATACTAAAGCACCATGTCTCATTTTGAAGATTTCAAAACCTTTAAATCAAATCAATGTTCAATAATTAACAAGAGTGCCCAGGATACAGCAGATGAATCATAAGCAAGAGTGAACGATTAACACAACTGCTGCCAAAAACAAAAAATCCAAAAGGCATCTTTTTTTTTTCAACCTGTGAATTATAGGAAAAAAAATATGGAGAGTTTTAAATTTAACTACTATTTTAAGTAGGAAAAAAGTTGACTTGGGTATCAATGGAAGCTTCCTCTTCATTTAAAAAAAAAACCCCACAGTTTATTGCAGGTTTTTTTTAAAATTAGTTAAATAAAACGTTCTCTCCATGGTCCTGCTCTAATGGAGGGGAATCCCAGTGATCTCCCATAATATGCATGGCTCTTGAAAATCCCCCTTTCCCCCCCCCAACTTTATTGCCTCTATTTTTCCCAACTAAAAGCTCTTCAGATATCACTGACAATTCTGAGAATCAGAAGAGCACAGGTTGGGAGAAGAAAACCCACCAGAAAGCAGGGGAGCTGGTCTAGAACAATGGTCTCCAACCTTGGCCACTTTAAGCCTGGAGGACTTCAACTCCCAGAATTCCCCAGCCAATTGGCTGGGGAATTCTGGGATCTGAAGTCCGCCGGGCTTAAAGTTGCTAAGGTTTGAGACCCCTG